TGGTTAAGTTGGTTAATTAACCAGTGCAGTGTGGGTTTATAAGGGGACTTCATGATGGGATGTGACAATGTAGTTGGTGTCGGTTGGCCTAATTTTGTTTAAACTAAGTACTTTGTTAACTACCCAATTTAGACGTATAGTAAGTTATAAGGAAGGTTGTGATTGGTATATATGAATATTGTTCGAAGTTGATTGGATTATTGGATTCAGGGAGAGCTCCCAAAAAATTTTATTAAGTTAATAAAATTTAGGCATACATTTGTACGTCTCTCCTCAAATATAAATAGAGTTTTTCCGAATCTATATATATATAATTACTAGCTAATATTATTTAATAAAACCTATTTAATTTTACCTATGTGGCAATTTAACAATTTTCCCTCCAAAAACCGTTATATTTTGATGTATTTAATCTTTCATTTAATCATTAAATAATTAATACTCATCACTTCAAAATTACAAAAATCATTTTAAACTTTTGATTAATGACAATTGACCATATAATGTGTTGACCGTATAATGTGATTAGATGTTATTATTGTTGTTACATTTAATTTTTTTTTTTTGAAAATAAAAAATATATTTGAAATTTCTAAATAAATAATAAATAATTCACAAATAAAAGACGTACCAAAATATACATTACATCCAATCAGATAAACGCAGTTTAAAAAAAATATTTCAACTCTTTTAATTGTAAATTTAGTCTACAAAAAAGTGAAAAAAAAATAATTAATCATTATATGCATACAGACTCACAATAATTTATTTATATCTGTGCAAATGTACAGGTCGAATACTAGTTTAGTTGATTTCTGATGTTTCGTAATGACTGTGGTGTCTTCGAGTAGTCCATATATAGATGTTAGCTCCTATCAGACTATCAGTGCCTAGTTTGTTTAATTATGATTGTAATTAGGTATACCTAGCTTGTTTATAAATTAGCACTATAAATGGGAAATCCATAAGATATGTTACACATCAGCCCAAGTGTTGTATTAACTATTAAGTTGGTATCTTCTATTTGTAAAACTAGCCACTAACTGACACATAACTAGCTAGTTTCAATATTTATTATTTTGTNTATGAACTCTAACTGTGTTTGTAAATTAATTTTTTCAATCCAAATTAATTCATACTAAAAAATCTAACTCAACTTTAACCCAAACTCACTATCCTCAATATTATCAATATAATTAAATAATAACAATCAATCAATATTACACATCATATCAATTTTAATTCACTCACATAATTTTAACTACATATCATTTTCAATAATTTAACCCTACTTTTACATCAAATCAACTTTAATTATTTTACTTTAAATATTATTTTAAGATAAACTCTAAATCCCACTAACAATTAACTACACCATTTTTTAAAAAATTAACCCTAGTTAACCCTAAATAACAAATCCAATTAAAGGCTTTTCGATTCCATCCACGGAAAATAAAAATAGATGTTAGTTGAAATTGAATGGAAAGTGTGAGTTTGAGAAGATATGTATTTTAAGCACTCTCATAAGTAGTGCTATTAAATTAAACGAGTCTAGTTTGGCTCGACTCGAGCTAATTTAGAGCTTGTTTGCGTAACGAACCGAGCTCAGCTAAGCTCTATAAGGCTGGAAAATAGAATTTTCTATAGTTCAACTCGTTTAAGTTCGAGATCGGCTCATTAAGGCTTGAACTCAACTTGTTAATAGTGGTAAATAGGTCGAGCTCGAGTTTGATTTGTGGCTCGTTTATTTAACGAGCCGAACATTAAAGGCTCGAGCTCGAGCACCCTAAGTTCGAGTTCGACTCAGTTTGTTTATAGGCCTACTCATATCATACGCTTAGTTTTCTATGGAAAAATTTTATTTTCAGTCCCTTTATAACGTTAGGACGGTTTGGAAATAGATCCCACGTGAATTCACTTTAGCAAATGAATCCCCGCAAATTAATATTAATCAATATTAGGATAAATATGACCGTCAATTGTAATTATCCCTAGATACGACACCATACATTCTCTCAATTTCATTTCTCAAAATTAATTAATATTAATTTTTGTGAAACCTGATGAAAAACGCGTGTGGCTTTTTGTTGGCCCACTTTTGAAGTCGAAAATAAACAGTCCATATGACCACGAACACTATAGTATGGTAGTCAAATGGTTGATCTCCAAAAATCCCCTCTTTTCAAATCTACCATCTTTTTTCCTTCCAAATTTAGTCAAAAAAAAATTTGGCCACTTTATATATACTTCAATGCCCCTTTACAACTTCTCAACTAATTCCTAAACCATAACCACAAACATTGTCCAAAAAAGACAATATGGGACATTCATACTTTCATGCAACACTCACAATTCTCTTATCATCTTCAATCTTTAGAGCAAAAGCACAAATTATCTCCCCATGCTCGAGCTCGATGATCGTAACCTCTTTTACGCCATGCTTAAATTACATAACGGGAAGCAGTGGAACTGGCTCGTCCCCAACCGAAGATTGTTGCAATTCGTTGAGGTCGTTTATGGTCAATAACATGGATTGCGTTTGTCTTATCGTGACCGGAAATGTTCCCGTGTCTATACCTTTTATCAATGCGAATATAGCGATTTCTCTCCCGCGAGTATGTCAGAATTCGGTGCCCTTACAATGCAGAGGTTTTATAGTCGTTTTTCTATACCTATTTGTAAATCTTTCGCTACTCAGTACTGCCGAGTAATCGTCAGACTAACTCACACAAAAATATGTTGGTCAATCTAAATAATGGTCAGATTGACTCACATAAAAATTTGTGTCGATTACTATAGTCATTGTTTAACTGAAAAAAAAAAGTGTTTTTTGATCTATTCAATTTCACTAACTAGTGGTAAATTTCTTGTGTTTCTGCAGCCACTGGAGTTCCTCTACCGCCTCCAGGTATGTTGATTATGTTTCACTGTAGTACTGACTAATGTTTAGTTGATATAATGAACATGCGAAAGTGAAACCAATTTGTAGTAAAAATCACACGTAAAATAATTGCCTCGAGATGATGATTGTTAGGCCCAGTTTTATTTGGCCCAACATCAGCTCCAAGCCCGGCAGGCCCTGTTTCATTTGGCCCAACATCAACTCGAAACTCAGCTGGTGCACCTGCTCCAACTATTCATAGTCATCATAGTCAAAATGGTACGCATCAATCGAAATTTAATCACAACAAGCAAAACAAAAAATAAAATGGATATTTAGATTCACATGTACGTGCGAGTTACACAAATATTATCAAAATTAAAATTACTCATTAGTCAAAATTAATCATTATTACCAAGGATCAGATAGATTATGTTTTTTTTTTTCAATGGTAGCAAATATAAAACTTCGAACTTTCAACTATTTATATACAGATTAATATATTTTTGCATTATTATAGAAAATTTGTTACAATTTTATTTTACATAAAGAATCTAAATCTGGCGGCCACACACCAAGATACCTTATTGGAACTTAATTTACTTGTGATTAGAGTTATTAGTGAGCTCGGCTCGTTGAGGCTCTCTAGTCGCTCGAGCTCGTTTAAAATTTGTTTAGTTAAAGGATAAAAAGAATATTTTCTTAATATAATTATCTACGATTCGCTTAATTAAAATTCGAGTTCGACTCGTTAATATTAATAAACGAATCCAATTTCTAGAATATTAACATATTTAATTAGAGCAACTCGAATCGTATACGGCTCGTTTATACTATGTATTTATGTTGTCTTTCAACTTCCAAAGCAATAGCCATCCTGGCGGCTCCTCAGCCGGCTGAAAGCCAAGAAATTTCACCGGCGGCTCCTCAAAACTCCCCATTAAGCCCAGCCGCAAGGCCTGGGGTCAAACCGGTGGTCAATGTCAACTCAGCCTCAAGTGTGCCTAAAATGCAAACTCTTGTACTTACAAATGTTGTGCTAGCACTTGTTATGGCGTACAAGTTCTTCAACTGAACAAATTGATTTGTTACGTGACACATTTTACCAAATATACTTTCAATGAATTTGATAGAACTTTAACTTTTGAATCGATTTTGACTAGTCCAAATTATCTAAATTCCATGTATATCATTTAGGTCCTATAAGAAAATATATAATACTGATGTAGTGTATATCTCTAAGAGCAAATGCAGCCAAAAGAACTTTAATCAGACTGCAATAACAATTAATTGTGTATCATAAAAAAATGGCTCGCACAAGTTCCAAATGATAACCAATTTCGGATAGAGATGAAATGAATAAAGCAAGCGATATATATACGATTTATGATTGTCAATATTATCGCTTCACAACTAAATCTAAAAAATAAATTAAAAAAAAAAAAAAATTTTACCCCATATTACACTATAGTACTAATAATCTAAAACAGTACCATCATAAATCCAGAAAATTGTGGGAATGTGCAAGTTTGTGTTTATAGTCAAAGTTAAATTGGACGGGGTAAAAGACAAGAATTTAGCTAAAATAAATATGATAATTATACTTGGAACTTGTTAGTTGTTACAGTATTAAAAACAATTAATGAATTGACTACAATATATATATTGTCCTCTGGGGGACCGTACCAGGTCACGTGAACGCCACCCTCCCCTCGCATGGCCATTAGTTTATGAGCAACGTAATTAAAGAGAGTATTTTAAAATTTAAAGAGTAAATTGATCACAGTAAGAGTTTTGTTGTTTGTTTAGAAATAAGGGGTCGAAAAAAGTGTCATTTACAAGTTTGTTATAGGACTTTATTTTTAGGTCATCCCAGCAGGGTTTATAATTTACTGTTTTTGACATTTAATTAGACACGTATCGGCTCCTAAGTTAAGAATTACATATTGTTTAACATTCATCTTATTGAATTACTGTGGTGGCATAATTACGTATTGTTTAATATTCATCCTATTAAATTGCTATAATGACATCGTCTCGAGTTTACTGCGTGGTGAACACCTCATGTAGTAGAATTTCTATAAATTAATCTTTCTAAAATAATATCTTTTCCCGATCTCGATTTGGGACAATGTAAAAAATTGTAAATTTTAATAAGATAATAAGATGATAATTTTTAGAAAGGCCCTTTATAAACATATAGTCCCAAAATCATAAATTAATAATCCTATAAAATTACAAATATAATCAAGGCAATTTAGTAAAATACGAATCTATTGTTTTTTGTTTTTTTTTCATGAAATGCAAATCTAAAATTGATTTCATCCTTAATTTTTTTCATTGCATGCAAAAGCTTGTGTCATACTTTCAAGCTGCAACAAAAAAGTTGTGAAGAGTTTGTTGCTGTCATTAATAGTGCTTCCTTCCGTGTCATACTTTCATGGTTGACTTTTGAACCCCTTTAGATTAGATGCCATTGTTGGATAAGAAAAACATAAATCACATATTTATACCTACCTAAAACTTGTTAACCAAGAAACCTCTTTCCTAATTTATTTTTGATTCTTGTACTTATAAATTTCTTTCCAAATTTAATTAAAACTCTTTTCTAACAAGTCTACTTGCTCACCAAGTACAAACTACACTTGCCCAAATTAATATTTGCTAAATCGTAAAAGCACACGCTTTAAATTTTAATAAATTATAATTTATTAATGAATTAATCTCCCTCTAAGTTAATAAAATTTTGTGGTCCCAACATTATTAATTTATAGAAGTTTTATTGTATTTACTTTAGATCATTGTCATTGCCTTTTTTCAACTAGCTGAGCCCTAGCCAAATATAAGAAATTGAGTGTCGACTTGAATTAACGATAATCTCAACTTCATATTCTCATTGATTATGCAACATGTATATTCTCTGGCATCTTAGTTCGGTACTGACACATCTGATAGGAGCATTTATTAAGTGTAATAGGAAGTCTTATCATGCAATTTTTATTTGTATTAGTGGGACAAACACTACCATAATGAATAAATGAATATTACTATTCCGAAAGTTTGAATTAGTTTTCACGTTTTTTCTTTAAACTTACACTAATATATATAATACTCGTGTACATGGGTGTTGAGTTAAAAAAATATATCATAAAAGTTATTGCTAAAATAAAAATTTTATTTAAAATAATGGATTTATTAATGAAAATAAAGAGGAATAGATAATGCAGAGAGCTATAAATCCTAATTTAGGAGAAAAATATGAGAAAAAATTAAAAGGATAGTAAGATTATTACTTGCCCAAATTAAAAAAGAAATTTGTACTAAGAGAAAAGATATAATAAAATTAAATGTACACTTACTAAGTTTGAAAAAAGTTATTTATCTCTATATCAAACCTAATTCCAAAGCAAAAAAATTAATATACAAACAACATTCTAAAGCATAGGTTTTTGTCATGACAACATCCAAAGCGTGTGAATCTACTACTTAGCCTCAACACGTTTTGAATTAATATATAGGGAGAAATTACTTTAACTCTACGCATTATTTTTACCCAAAATTTCATTAACGAATTTAAATTTAGGAAAATACTATAGTCTCATTACGGAACTATTTCATTTGAAATTTTTAACCATTAAATGCACATGTAAATTAATATAGCATGTATATTTAACGGTTAAAAATCTCAACGAAATAGTTCGGACGGTAGTCTTACCCTTAAATTTAATGTCACGTATTCAACAAAGCATTTTTGGTTCAAGTAGATGAGAATCAAATCAATTCAACTCATCCCTTAACTTCCACATTTCAGTTACTTTTATCAAGCCTCGCATTTCTCCGGATAGTTTCAAATTTTAAATGTNTCGTCCTTTCTCGAATTCCTAATTTTAGCAAGACAGATGTACTTTAGATTGCTCCTCTTTGTACCTCCTCTGTCCTGAAAACCCCCATGCATGCTGCCTGCCTGTAGCAATACGCGGCGAAAATCTACGCATGAGGGACACGTCACAGGGACACGTGTTCGCTTGCATGGTACTCTTTCTCCCTACATGCAACCCTTCTCATCCATATCACTTACTCCCCGCCACACTATAAATCAAGCACCCCATTACACTTCATTTCCCATCAACTACACAAAACACTTCCACTACACAAAAAAAAAAGGAGAAAATATCATCAATCATGAGTTCCGGAGTAAGATTCGGGTTGGCCCTCCTGGGCCTTATCCTAGCCCAAGCAGCTTTGGGCCTTGCAGCCCAAGAGCCACGTGGCAAGAGCCCCATCGAGCGCTTGCGCGAGTGCACCCAATCGTGTGAGAGGCAGCGCCAGTCTCCCGAGCGGCAAGAGGTCTGCAAGAAACGGTGCCAGGAGGAGTACGAACGGGAAAAGGAGAGGTATGAAGAGGACATCATGACACGTGGCGAAAGGGAAAAGGAAAGTAGTAATAGTCCGTACGTTTTCGAGGACAGGCACTTTATGACAGGGATGAAGACACAGCACGGCCAGGTTCGGATCCTCCAGAGGTTCACGGAGCGGTCGGATTTGCTCCGAGGGATTGAAAATTATAGGGTCACGCTTCTCGAGGCGGATCCTCAAACCTTCGTCGTGCCTAACCACTGGGATGCCAATGCTGTTATCTTCGTCGCCAACGGTATAATCCCTTAATTTCGCTTCTTTTTTTTGGATGCATCCGCTTCAATGGGTCTCTTTGTTTAACCAGATTTAAAAGAAAAAAAATTGTAAAAAGTTGGAAGATTTTTTTTTTCTTTTTTTTTTTTGAAAAAGTTAATGAGTTCTTTTGAAATTTTCAGTTTTATTAAAATAATATTTAAAATAGAATAATTAAAGTTGATTTGATTTAAAAGTTAAAAAAAAAAATTGAAGTTAGTTTTGAAAAAGTTCATTTTGTAATTGTTATTGAAATTTTGAGTTTTTATTAAAATAATATTTAAATTAAAATAAATTAATTTAAATTGTTATTGAATTATTTAAGTTTTATTTTATAAAAATAATATTTAAATTAAAATAAATTAATTTAAATTGATTTGACTCTTGGTTAACTAGTGATGGTTAATTATTTGAGTGGATGAATAGTGAATTAAAATTAATTTGATGTGTAAGAGTAATTGATTGTTAATATTTATTATGTCCATGATATTTAGAATAGTAAAATTAAATATGAATTAGTATAAACTGTAATAATTTACAAACAAAAACACTCAATATTTTTTTTGGTTGGGCTGTGCTTGGTTATGTAGGAAGGGGAATAGTGAGTTTATTGAGACAAGACAGGAGGGAGAGCTTCAATATCAAACAAGGAGATATATTCAGGATAAACTCTGGCACAACAACTTACCTCATCAACAGTGATAAAAACCAGAAGCTTGTCCTGGCTAAGCTTCTCCAGCCCGTCAACACCCCCGGTCAATTCCAGGTTTTGATATATTCTGGAATAAAATTGAGTAATTTAATTTAGAACTTTCAAAATAATAACCCAAAATTTTAAGTTATTAAACAGTTTTCAATACCCTCAAAATGTTTATTTCATATGCTTTTTGGGCTTATGAACGATTTAACACAACAGTCATTTTTCGGAGCTGGAGGAGAGAATCCCGAATCCTTCTTCAAAGCCTTCAGCAAGGAGATACTCGAAGCTGCCTTCAATGTAAGAATATCCAATCTATAATATTCTGCTGGATTAATTTTTTTTTTAGCTCGGTTGATCTTAAATCTAATCCACCCACTCTGTATTCAGACAAGGAGTGATAGGTTGCAGAGGATCTTCGGACAACAGAAGCAAGGTGTAATAATGAAGGCCTCGGAGGAGCAAATCAGGTCCATGAGCCACCATGAAGAAGGCGGCATTTGGCCCTTCGCAGGCGAGGCCAAGGGCACATCCACCATCAACATTTACCAGCAGCAGCCCAAACACAGAAACCAGTACGGCCAGCTCTTCGAAGTGGACCCCACCAATTACCGACAGCTCAAGGACCTCAACATTGCAGTCTCACTCGCCAACATCACTCAGGCATATAACTATAAAACTATAACTAATATAATACAACATTGCTGTAAACGAGCTCATGCTGCTCAGAAATCAACAAGTCGAGTTCGGCTTCGTCCATCATATTAATGAGCTCAGTCAAAATCGAGCCGAACTCTAGAAAAATACATAAGGAATCATCTTTTAATTTAACAGCTAGGCTAGTCGATTCGAATGGTAATAACTTGATGATGTTTGTGTGTAGGGTGCAATGACAGCTCCATATTACAACTCCGAGACCACGAAGATAACTTTAGTGTTGGAAGGCCAAGGCTATTGCGAGATGGCGTGTCCCCACCTTGCAGAGGAGGAGAGTCGCCGCCAGCAAGGCAGCGAGCGTGAGAAGAGCGAGCGTGAGAAGAGCGAGACGAGCACGGGCCCACGCTACCAAAAGGTGAGCGCTCGACTGAAGCGCGGCACGGTTATGGTGGTGCCAGCTGGGCATCCATTTGTGGCCGTGGCCTCCAAAAATCAGAATCTGCAGCTCCTCTGTTTCGAAGTCAATCAAAAGAACAACGAAAAATACACTCTTGCAGGTGAACAAAACTTAGATTCAGCTTCTCACTAATACACCCGCGGAAAAAAATACTCAAAAAATGATGTTTTGTTTTAGGGAGGAAGAATGTGATGAAGTACCTGGAGAAGGAGGCTAAGGAGCTGGCCTTTGGAATGCCGGCAAGGGAAGTTGAGGAAGTCTTCAATAGCCAAGAAGAGGAGTTTTTCTTTAAGGGGCCTCGACAGGAGCACGAAGGCCGTGCAGAGGCATAAGAAGAATGCATAACTACTCAGGAGCGAGTCCTAAGAAGAGGACTACTTGTGTGAAAATATGTTTTAAGCTTATAAGCCAGTGTAATGTACAGTGACCGGCTCGTCTTGTCCAAGTCCAAGTAGCGTAATAAAAAAAGAGAGTCTGATCGTTGTTCCCCTGGTTTTGAATCCTGCTGAGAATGTAACTATATATGTAAATTAGGTGAAGTTCTTGTTGACATGAATAAAACAGAGCTGGTGTTTCAGCTCCTTTTCGAAACATGAAATCTCCAATTTTGCATCTTAATCGTGTGAGCCGAGTTTGTATCCTTTCCGCCCATCTAATATCCGATTTTCATCTCATATCGTGTGAGCCGAGTTTGAAGTTTCAGCTGCACAGAACATCTCCGATTTTTATCTTATGTCGTGTGAGTCGAGTTTGTAGTTTCAGCTCCTTTTCGCACATCAAATCTCCATTTTCATCTTCTATTGTGTAATGTGTGAGACGAGTTTGAAGTTTCAGCTCCTTTTTGCACATCAAAAGTTTCAGCGAGTTTGTAGTTTCAGCTCCTTTTCGCACATCAAATCTCCATTTTCATCTTCTATTGTGTAATGTGTGAGACGAGTTTGAAGTTTCAGCTCCTTTTTGCACATCAAAAGTTTCAGCTCCTTCGCACATCAAATCTCCGGGTTTCATCTTATATCTGAGAGTCTTGAGTTTGAAGTTTCACTCCTTTTCTAACACCAGATCCCCGTTTTTCATCTTACATCGTGTAATGTGTGAGTCGAGTTTTAAGTTTCAGCTCCTTTTCGCACACCAAATCTCTGTTTTTCATCTTATATTGTGTATCGTGTGAGCAGAGTTTGAAGTTTTGGCCTGAACCGAGTCCGATTCCCAAAGGGAATAGGGCAATTTACACAATTTTTCCATAGACTCTGAGCGATTCAAGGTAAAATCTGCAAGAAGGTTTCTGATCATCTGGCTCAACAATCTTATTTAAGCTAAAAACTGCAAGAAGGCTGGCTCAATAATCTTATGAATTTCATTCACCTGAAACCTATTACAGTAATCAAATTCAATCGCCAGCTATCAAATAATTCAGTGAATCCCCATTTTCAGTAAAAAAGGAATCAGAAAATACGAAGCAATGCGATTATTTGTAATCTGTGGACACAATATTACACTGAATAATGTGGATTTCAACAGACATATATATACCCAGCAGCTCCGATTTCACACACACACACACACAGAGTTTAAGAAAACCCTACTTGAGGATAACGATGAAGCGCAGCCGGAATGGAAGCTCGTCGCGCCGTCGCGCCGGCCAAGTTGCGAACACCGCCGCCGCAGCCAATAATCCGGCGGCGGTTGTGGAGACTGAAGACGACCGAAAAGAGCCTCGATCGTCGATCTTGAGCATCGGGTTTCCGGTGAGGGCTGAGAAGTATAATCCGGGGAAATTGGGGGACTTTTTGGAGCGGTGTTACTACTGCAAGGACCTGATCCCTCGCAACACGGAGGTCTTTATGTACGGGTATGCCTTTTGTTTTTGCTTTTATTCTGCTTTTTTTTAAAATATTTTTTTCTTTTTANTGCTAAGTAAATTTGGAATTAGATCAAAAAGTGTCAATTCATTTTTTTCATTTACTTTTATAGAAAAATAGTAGATTTGATATATTATTCATTAGAATTGGGTGAATTAAACATAAATTATAAACATGTATGGAAAAAACTAAAAAATACATGTCTTTATAACATAAAAATAATTATCCCCTTCCTCAACAAGATGACCATAAAAGTATAGGGGTGAGGGAATGGTTGGGAATTTGATCTCTCTTACCACATGTTGTTTCGATCATATGATCTCAAACAGTTTGTGATGATACATCGTCCAAAATAGATTCATACGAGACCGAAACAAATTGGTTTGGGATCATGTCGATTCAGAACAAAAAATTATTAATATTATTTTTACATGAGACTGAATTACAAACTTTGAAATGCAATTTAAGATTTTGGAAGACGAAATTTTTGACATATGTATATAGTATATATTTTGTATCAATGTAGGGCCAAACAATTCGATTTGAAACAAAAATATATGAAAACCGACAATTAAATTGTTTTAAACAGTCCATACCAAAATGAAGAAAATTCATTGAAATTGTTTTAAACAAGTTGTGCGGGCAAGTTAAACCTATGTGGTATTGCTCTATTGTATGCAATGCATGAAGCATGATTATGTGATTAGCAGTATTATCATGTTTTTGCAATGTTCAATAATATCCCAAAATTTCAAATTGCAATGCAGCATTCTCTGTGCATTCTGCACAATCCAATGCCGTGACCTTCAAATCGCCAAAGATCGTGTGGCCAGGAGAAATCCAGCACGCGACGAGTTTAGCGCAAATCAAGGCTACGAGTCTACAACGTGAGGGCTGAATTTACAGACTGTGTGAACATGAAAATGCATCATCACACAACATATTGTGAAATTCTAAATACTAAATGCAGAGTATGCAATAAGGTTCTCTTTTGGTTGGGTAATTGCCTTAGCTTATCTTGCCAAGAAACTTCAACTTCCTTCATGATGAGTATCTTTCATTTAAATCAAGACTTGTATTCACTTTTGGCATTTTTTATTG